CCCCCCCCCCAATTAAACAAGCTACACAAAATTCCCTTAGAATAACTGCTATAATTGACTCCTGGACAATTACCTGAGAAAGGTAACAGAGTTAAGTAGACTGGATAACAAAAGTAGATGCCTAATACCCCCCACCAGAAACAGGCCTTCAAGGGAATTAAATATAAAACAAGTAAATTCAAATGAAATGTTAGTAATAAGAAAGTCATAAGCATGATATACTGCTTAGGGAGGACTGACCCAAAAAGGATGCTCAGAATTGCATTCTTGGCAAGAAAATGGCAATATGAAGCCAAAAAGTAGAAAGGTAAAATCTACCCAACAACCTTCTCAATGAATATCAATATTTACAACAGGGTAGGAACAATTTTTATTCTTCCAGAAAAAAAAGAAATAAAGATTTTAAAAACTGTTACTGGTATAAGAAAAAATGGACCAAGAAATTCAGTTATAATAAAAATCTTCTGAACATAAAATATTCTAGAATAACATGATGAATTAATAAAAAAAAAAAAAAAGTCACCTTTCCCCTTCGTCCATTTCCTCCATCCTGATCTTCCCACTGCCAGTCCACTCCTCGTACCACTCTGGCACCTGCAAAGATCCCTCTGGCTGTAATCTTCTTAGATTTTCTACGAGACTCTAACAGAACCCTAAAAATAAAAGTATTTATTTTTAAATTATATAAAAGTGGGTTAAGGGATGCCTGGGTGGCTCAGTCAGTTAAGCGTCTGCCTTCGGCTCAGGTCATGATCCCAGGGTCCTGGGATGGAGTCCCACATCCGACTCCTTGCTCAGCGGGAAGCCTGCTTCTCCCTCTGCCTGCCACTCCCCCCACTGCTTGTGCTCTGTCTCTCTCTGACAAATAAATAAATAAAATCTTTAAAAAAAAAACAAAAAAAAGTGGGTTAACAGTAATTTATTTATATATGTGTAAATTTTTTTTGAGAGAGTGAGGGTGGTGGGGGGGATGATAATCCCAGCAGGCTCCACACCCAGTACAGAGCCCAATGCCAGGCTTGATCTCACAACCCTGAGCTCAAGACCTGAGCTGAAATCATGGCTTGGATGCCTAACTGACCCAGGAATTTTTTTTTTACGATTTTTTTTATTCATTTTAGAGAGAAAGCAAGCAAGCACAGGGAGGGGCAGAGGGAGAGGGAGAGAATCTCAAGCAGACTCCCCACTGAGCATGGAGCCTGACCCAGGGCTCAATCCCATGACCCTGAGATCATGACCTAAGCAAAAACCAAGAGTCAGATGCTCAACTGAGCCACCCAGGCACCCCAATTTATTTTTAAAAATAAAATAAAAAAGGTTATTTTTAAAAATATAAAAGATTTTTCTTTGTTCCAGTTAATACCTTAATAGCATGACACATAAATACCTTTACGTTCCACAGGTGATGATGATGACAGTAGTAGTTAGAAAAATAATAATATCTAATATTTACTGAGCTTTTACTATAAGTAAAGCACTCACAAAAGTATAAAAGTCTATTACACTCCTTAAGAGAAGGTATTGTTATATTTTATTCATTTTACAAATGAGGAAACAGAGTCTCAAAGAGGTAAGTGATTTATCCAGGGTCACAAAAGCTAAATAATAATGGAATGGAATCAACATATGAATCCAATCTAACCACTTCAGAGTATCACTATATCCTTCACCACTTTATAAGTGGCAAACTCAAATCCCTACAACTGCCAGAGAAGTAACATAAATAAGGCCAAAAAGGTAACACCACAGCAATGACAAATGGCAACAAGCAGCACTTGACCCCAGGCTCAGGAAGACAAGAGGCAGTGGTAGGGACTTTGGTGAATTCAAGACCATGATTTGTCTAAAGGGTACAGATGCTCCTCTGTCAGCCAACTGTTACCATGATCAAATGCCCAGTGCTGACAGTCTTTGGGTATGTGTGTGTGTGCACGCGCAGACGTGGGTGTTCAAAAATTCAAAACACAGTATGGGCCAAATAAAATACATTGGTGTTGACCTAACACTAACTTGTCTCCAAAGTATTCAATACTTATGGAGGACTATGGACCTTGAAAAAAATCTACACTCAACAATCTGGACCAGCTTGGTTCTCCAAGGCCATCTTTCCCTTATTCTTCTATATCCTTCTCATTCATAAAATCAAAAAGGTTTGGGTTTTTCCTTTTGTTTTGCTAATTTTACCTCATTATTCTACTCATTTTTAGAATATCTTTATTATACTCTAACTTCAAAAATTGTAAGCAAAAAGACAAGAATAAACAACTTGTTCAAAACTACTCAGTTAATAAAAGGCAGGACCAGGATTTGAAGTGGCACAGTCTTTTTTTTTTTTTTTTAAGATTTTATTTATTTATTTGACGGAGCAAGAGAGAAAGAAAGACAGCACAAGCAGGGGAAGCAGCAGAGGGAGAGGGAGAAGCAGGCTCCCCACCAAGCAGAGAGCCCAACACGGGGCTCGATCCCAGGACCCTGGGTTCATGACCTGAGCCGAAGGCAGACGCTTAACCAACTGAGCCACCCAGGTGTCCCTAAACTGGGACAGTCTTATACCTAAATCCATTCTTCTACTACTCCCGCTGCCTCCCTATGACTGGCTAGATTCTTGCTCCTCTACATTATTCCTATCTATCTACAAAAGAAGATTCAATCACCTGAAACTCTGTACCAATTCACAATTAATATTCCTCTCTCTTTGCTAAGACACTTCATACTCTATATACAGTCTAAAACATCACATGATAATCACTACTGGTCAAATAATCCCTTAGCCTATAAATTCTTTAAGAGGAAAAAAAAAAGAATACTGTGCTTTAAGGGCACCTTAAGGGCTCAGTTGGTTGAGCATCCAACTCTTGATTTCAGCTCAGGTCATGATCTCAAGGTCATGAGTTTGAGCCCCAAGTCAGGCTCCACACTCAGCAGGGAGTCTGCTTGAGATTCTCTCTCTCCCTCTCTCTCGCCAATAAATAAATCTTTAAAAAAAAAAAAGAATACTGTTTTAGTTATCTTCAAATTTACACAAGCATAGTAGCTGCTACATAGTCTTAATAAAGGCCTGTTGATTCAATCAATGGGCCCTAGTGTTCATCTGGTAGCGATTAACAGAACAGAACGCACAGTAAGAAGAAAATAGTAAGCCTCTCTTGGGCCGCCCTTGCTTTTCCAAATATTGAGGAGTGCCAAGTCTCCATGCCAGAGAAAGAACAGCCCAGATTATCTTGAAAAAATACGTACAGCTCCATCTTCACAGAGCTTTTTTCTCACTATATGGCAGGCCTGGTCCACATCTAGGCTATTATCTCCTATGTCCTGGTACTAAGCCAGCTGTCAGAAGCTATTTCCAAATCCTATTTTTAAGGCTGAATAGTATAAAAAATTGAATGCCAACAAGGAATTACAACTGAAGAAAAATTGTTTACCCTACCGCTCACTTCCTGGTGTAGTAATTCTATAAAAGCGATGTCTTAAATGATGTTTATCTCCATGATAACACACAGTGCACAAATCATAATTTGTACATTCTGCACATTTCCATCGAATGCCAATGATTGGTTGCTGGCGGCAGGTATCACACATGGTTCCATCATGCTTGATGCCTATTAAAACAAAGATACATGCTTACATTAACTACAAGTATTATTTACTTGAATACTATTCCCTGGGGGAAAAATAAGAACAGCATTTTACAAAGTAATTCAATAAAGTAGGAAAGAGTATTTCAAATGTACCATATATAGTTTCAAGACAACATGTTTCAAGTATTTTAATCAGTACAAATTATAGACTAAACATTTTCTATCATTTTTTTCTTCATTAGTAACACATCAGCACTTTTTTTGCTGTCATCCACAAACTGAAACTTAGGTTCAATCTAGTGACACAAAAAAGAATCATTTACTACCAAGTAGATGTTTCAGACTTCAAACACTCAGAATCTTTTGAAGAATTTCAACCTATTCTCCAGGTAAACAATTACTCTAAAAGAAAAAACAAGTTTAGCCTCATGTTAGCCTCATGATATCATAGAAACAAACTATCAATTAATTTAAGCATCTATCCCTAAGTATTGACAAACTCCCCACCCCAAACAACAAACTTTAGGAAAGGATTACCAAATCAGTTTCTCAGTGTAAAAGGAAACAATATACTATAGTCAGGATGTTCCTTTGTTTTCCTTACAGAACAAGAAAAAAGAATGGAAAAAGGAAATAAGCATTTGGCAATATGACCTCCACCGAAAATGATGACATGAATGACATAGACAATTAGAACTATAAAAGGGGGGTGCCTGGGTGGCTCAATCAGTTAAGTGTCTGCCTTTGGCTCTGGTCACGGTCACAATCCCATCAGGCTCCCTGCTCAGCGGGGAGCCTGCTTCTCCCTCTTCCTCTGCCCCTCTCTGTCAAATAAATACATAAAATCTTTAAAAAAAAAAAAGAAAAAGGTAAGGGCTGTTCTAAGAATCAAGTAAGAATGTGCTAAATACCCGAGAACTACAGCACAAAAGTAGTAAAGTTAATACTAAACTCTAGAAGAACTGATACACTATTACTGCTTCCTGATAAGGGGGAAAAAAAACCCTGTATAATTAATTTTCTATATTCAAGTTTAAAATCCCATAAGGTAACTAGATTCTAAATAAAGAGCCAAACATGAAGATAAACTTGTGCCTAAGCTGAAATGGTAAATAAAAAGGGGATAGGAGAAGAACAGTAAAAGGAAGTTGGGATGCCTAGTAAAGTACAAAAGAGCATGACACCCAACACCAAATATGTTTCATGTGCAATCCTTCCGCAGTCTCCTGCCACACAAATGCTTGATCGCAGGGACAGGGAAGATGGCAGACATCAGTACCTACTGATTTCATTCAGTAACTATTTTACTGCTACTGTGGGCAGGCCCTCTGCTGCTTTCAAGTGTCATCCCTGGTGTAGTATGGATAACAGAAAGGAAGAAAATTAAAGTGGCTAGAGAAAAGGGGTCAAATTGTAAGAAGTTTACACAACAGTCCAAGTGAAAATAATGGTACTTTAAGCCAGGATAAAGCTAGTAGAATTGGAGAGAAAACATTCAGGAGAGATTTACGACTTGGTGGCTATGGGTTAGAAAACAAAGATGTAGAAAGTAACCAAAGAAAGTATAAATGAGATCATTCAAGAGAAAACAAAGAGATAAGAGATATTTAGGAACAAACAGTATAATAACTGAAAACTAGAACTGCTCTACTTAAAAAAAAGAGCCATTAACCAAAAAAAAAAAAAAAAAAAAAA